AGATAGATCAACGGTGGTTGAAATCTTCCCACCAGGCGAGGTTTATCATCAGAGAGGAGCGGCGTCGTACCATTGCTGGGCAAACAAATCTCTCCTATGGGCACCTGGAAACAAAGCTGATGCTTCATTCCTGAAAACAGCATTATTTGTATGATAGTTGCCCCCGGAGGCTCGGCCAGGATCAGGCTCCTTTGTGCTGGGTGTTGTACGTACACAGAGGAGCAGGCGACAGGAAGCCCTGGCAGTCTAAGCAGGTAAAAGAGGTGGCAGAAGAGAGGTGGCTGCCTCAGCTTGGCAGTAGATTGGGAAGGAGACCTCCAGGATCTTCTCCTGCTCAGCCCGGTGGATTAAGCTGATCTGCTGGACCAGGCAGAGCAGAGGAAGGCAGGGCTCTGTGTCGGGTCAGAAGTCCTTGACGGGCTTCCTTGCTTTGCAGAAGAGTCTGTCTGACCCTCGCAGATGCCACGCTGAGTCCCTCTGGCAGCATCCGAGTGCCTGCCAGTCGTGCCCCCAGCGATGAGACTCACCTCTCTCACCTGCGCGCCCGTCTCTCCCGTCGGACGTCTCCCGAGGCAGGAACCAGCATGCACCATGAAGTGTTGCATGGAAGAGGAGCCAAGTTCTCCTCTCTGGGCTCGCTGCTCCATGGCTTTCTTGGAGGGGTGCTCCTGGCCTCTGCGACGGCCTGTAGTTCCCAGGGGGAGTTTTGTTGCACAGTCTGGGACCAAATCTGTCCACGCATACAGCAGCTTCACCTGGGTGGTAGAAATCTCCATGGTGCCACAAGAGCAGGGCTGTCACCTGCAGCTCCTCAACCAAGAGCATTGGGCTCTTTAATGAAGCTGATGCCAGGCCTCTGTACACGGCACATGTTTTGCTCTTTCTTGCTCTGCAACGGCGTGACTGTTTGCACGAGTGGGTTTTCTGGATGTTTTTTAAGTCTTTCTGGCGCATCAAAGTAAAACTCCTTGGATGTAGTTTTGTTTGGCTCGCCATAAATTAAAGCGTCCATGGATTCATTGCATGCAAACACAAAGGTACTCAAAGACATGTAATGAACCTCGCTCATCCAGGCAGCCTTCTCCCCTCCGGCACCCCAAGGAGCCATTTCTTTGGCATCCGGATTGCTTCCATCCCTTCAATATGGCTCAGCCACTGTAGTCATCATGCTCTGATTTTCTGTCGGGGCTGGGACTCTGTATAATCCATATTGCTCATTACTGGTTCTTATGCAACATTCCTGTGTTATGGGATCATGTTGTGCAGTACACCAAAGATTTTCGGTAAAATCTTCCTTGCAAAATGATCTAGCAATGTCACGGGGCTTTGTGAGAGAAGCCAGGGTTGACTGGCATAGATTATACATGACCTGATGACAATTTTCTAGACCCGAAGCTTAGTTTTCCTTGAGATGAGCTAGGATGTCAGCATGACCATAAAGCTGGCAGTGTCCACTCCTGCGAGGTGCTGCATCGCAGCTGAGCGGGTGAGAACGTCGCTGTCTGGTTAGAGCGAGGCAAGTAATTATACATTTTGCCGAAGCCTAAACACTGTCAATGGGACACATCCCTCTGGGAGAGAGGATGTGTGATAAGACAGGTATGCAGGTGTGGGTGTGTCTATGCATATAAGGTTTTAGGGAAATGCCCAATAGTAAGAAATCAATAATATAAGTATCCTGTAAGTAGCCAGTCATAGGAGTAAGAGTACCAGTAAAAATAATGAATATGTAAGAAACAAAACAGTTTGGGAAGAAAGTTTCGTTGGACTATGCTCCTGAATGTCCCAGCGAGACCCTGAACTGACTGATCAATGGGACAGGGAGCAAACCTTGCTAGCAAGGTAACTAGTGCATGTCTTAGCATAAGAGTGTGTGTTGTCTGCTGAAAAAACCTACATTCGAGTTGTAGAAATGCCTCTCTTGAGCATTCGCTCTCTCAACAACCCACTCATTCCCCGATCTAAGGGTTTGGGGAACAATAGGAGCTTGTGCAATGCAAGACAAGCTCTATTTCCTGCTTATGTTCTTCCTTTAATTTCTTCCTTTCTGTTACCATCGTGTGCTGGGATAGAGCCTAAACACTTCAGGTAGGTCACTTGCTTCAAACTACCCCAAAAATGAAGAGAAAATGAGAGGCGAAGGGACTTGGCTCAGCCACGTAGCAGGTCAGCAGCAGAGCTGAGAACAGATCCCAAGTCTCCCGATGCCAAGAATATCATCTTTACCCACTAGCTCCTGCTGCCTCCTGTGGCCTTCGTGGTGGTTTCTTTCAGTTTAGTTGCCAAACCCTCTATCTTGGGTTGCTTTTTGTTCGGTAACTAACTCTCCCAGCAAAGCAGGGCTCACATTTCAGCATCTGGGTCATGCTTACCTCTGTCTTTGGTGACCACATCTCTTTAGCCTGGCTCCCAAGGCCACCTGGGACCTCTCGGGGTCTCATGGGGACCCTATAGTCTTGCACTATGGCACGGGTCCCCTCCCAGGCCACAGAGGTGCTGAGTTCCCTCAGGACACTGGTGCCTGCAGCAGAGACTGGCTCCACCGAGCACTGTCCCCTCGACGTCAGTCCTGTCCACTAGCCAAGCCTCTCCTCTCATCATGGGGGTGCCTGGTTTGGGGCCTGGCCCCAACTCAGTGTCATCCCTGTTGGAGCGGAGCTGACATAGGGCAGCTGGCACATCTCCCGTGTGTTGCTCCACTGATGCTCTTTCCCACACAGAAGGGACCCAGGGGGCTTCTGCCTTGCCCCAGCTCATTGTTTGGTGCAGGGGATGAGCAGCAGCCCAAACTGGTGCACCCTAATCTCCATGGGAAGCAGGAACCAAAAACAAAGGGGCTTTGCAGCGATATGTGCTGCATCCCGTCCCCACTTCCCCTCCATCACCGGGGTCCCTTTGTTGCCACTGACGCCCTGCTTGTTTCACCCGCCCCTGTAAGCCACGTTGGTTGCATCGGGAATCCGCATCGGGATGTGGACATGCAAGTGCCGTGCCATGAGGTTAAAAGGATGAGGTCATGGCCCAGGGTAAAAGCAGACTAACCTGCAGTAATTTACTGCTCTTTTGCTCCCGCTCACCACCGGGTCAAAGCGGGCACATGAGCAGTTACCGCGGAGTAGCCAATGCACAGCACAGCCCTGTCCCGGTGGAAGGTTTGCATGTTCAAACCATCACGTGGGGCCATCTCTGGTCCGTGGGTCTCTGAGTACCTTAGTGCACATGTCCCTGTGCTTGGGCACTCTGTATGGTACTCAGGGGAGCACATGGCTACCACCCTGCATTTAGGGCTGGATTAGCTCCCACTGCCTCCAATTGATTTCAGGGGCAGCTGGATGAGGCCTGGCTACAAGGATCCAGTTACTTTCTGCAACCTGCCATCCTTTGCTTTGGGCATTGGGTGTTATGCAGCCTGTCCTCCCTGCAGAGTTTGGGACCTATGCATGTGTGGTTTGTCGTGGCCCAGCAGGGAGGAAGTGGCCTGCCCTTATTAGGACAGCGCGGTATTCATTAGCTGAGGTCATTGCTTCCTGTGCAGATTGCACTTTCTCAGACTGTTTCTTTCCTTTATGCAGGGTTCATGGTCCCTCTGGGGAAGACATCGCATGAAACAGTTCTCGTGGTACCTGGTGGTATCCACACTATTTAGGCCTGTTCTACACTAGGGTTGTATACAGGTGTCCCATGCTGCTAGGACAGCAAAGCCATGGTGTAGACAAGGTGCTGGCGTATCACTGAGCTCTGCCCAGGCTGAGATGAGGAATGATGTGTGATGATTTTAGTGCTGCTCATGCACTGGGTGACCTTTGGCACGAGGCAATTGCAGTGAGCCGGTGGCAATACCAGAGCAGCACTGTTTTCCTCCAGGCCCAACCTGCCCAAAGGGATCTCTGCATCCCTAAAGGATTTTGCCAGGGGCAGCCACCCTGTAAACACATGCCACAAGTGGCATGGACAGCCTCTCTTTGCGGCACACGGCAGATCCAGAAGGGGATTGGCAGCAGAACGGCAAATAGGACAGGGAGCAGAAAGCAGAGCAGCAGATTGGACAGGGGAAGGGATCAGAGTGGCACTTGGGGAGAGTACAAGGCTAATTTGTGGCATCACTGCTTGACCCACACTGATTTATGCCTTTGAATGAGGACGCACAGAGGCTGGAATACTAACGACGGAGAGGAAGAGGCAGAGCCAAGGGAAGAGATGTTGCAGGGGGTGATGGAAAAGCAGGATGCAGAGGCTGTTCTGGGCAGCTGGGGCTGCAAGGGACCAGACTGGTACCAGCAATGTTGCAGCTGAGCCAGTGGCAGGAGCAGGGTAATGGCTTGGTGAGTAAAGCACTAGGCCAGGCTTGGTGTGTGACTCACACTGTGGCCAGGACAAGTCACCGCATCTCTCTGAGTCACTCTCCCTACGTGCAAGATGTGGGGAGATGATGCTTCCTCCCTCCTTCCCTTAGTCTGCCTTGAGCTTCACTAATGTAGGCTCTTCAAGGTGAGAACTCACCATGCATCTGTACAGCACTGAGCATAGAGGGGCCTTGACCTTGTCTGGGGTCCTAGGTGCTTGTGTGACCCTCCTACATGACAGCGAAGGGACGGGGCAGCTCTGGATAAGTGGGGAACCGGTCCATAAAGGAGGCTGCAGAAAGGGGTCTGGTCTGTGCGGTCTGGGGCTGCGTGGTAACAGGGGGTCCACAATGAAACCATCATGCAAGACATGCTCTGGATCAACCAGTAGCCTTGAGCTCAGTGCAGGAGTCTTGGGGTGAAGGCATAGCCTGGGCTATCCTGGGGGCTGTGATGGTGTCTTCTGGCCTGAAAACCTGCAAGCCAGGCCTTAAAACAAATGGAGGGTCCATGGGGCAGAGCTGAGGGTGGGAGATGGAGCTGTGCTCACAGCCACAGGGTTAAGTTTGGGGTTCGTGGCTCCCAGGGGCATTAACGTAGCACCCAGCTCTTGGGATGATCCTAGTCCTTGACTGTGCCCATGTGTTTTGTTTGCAGGCTTTGCTGAGGCCAGCGCCAGGGATGGACAACCTCACTGTGCCTGCGGGGGGGAAGAGCAACTGCACCTTCCATGAAGAGTTCAAGCAGATCCTGCTGCCCGTGGTGTATTCGGTGGTCTTCGTGGTGGGGCTCCCTCTCAACCTGGTCGTCATCGGGCAGATCTGGGTGTCCCGGAAGGCGCTGACCCGCACCACCATCTACATGCTGAATCTGGCCACGGCCGACCTGCTGTACGTGTGCTCGCTGCCCCTCCTCATCTACAACTACACGCAGAAGGACTACTGGCCCTTCGGCGACTTCACCTGCAAGTTCGTGCGTTTCCAGTTCTACACCAACCTGCACGGCAGCATCATGTTCCTCACCTGCATCAGCATCCAGCGCTACATGGGCATCTGCCACCCACTCTCCACCTGGCACAAGAAGCGAGGCAAGAAGTTCACCTGGCTGGTGTGTGGCGTGGTGTGGCTCATCGTGGTGGCCCTGTGCTTGCCCACCTTCGTCTTCGCCTCCACGGGCACCCAGAGGAACCGGACCGTGTGCTACGACCTGAGCCCGCCCGACCGCTCGGCCAGCTACTTCCCTTACGGCATCGCGCTGACAGCCATGGGCTTCCTCATGCCCTTCACCTCCATCCTGGCGTGCTACTGCAGCATGACACGGATCTTGTGCCAGAAGGATGAGATGATCGGGCTGGCCGTGCGGCAGAAGAAGGACAAAGCTATCCGCATGATCATCATCGTGGTCATCGTCTTTGCCATCAGCTTCTTCCCCTTCCACCTCACCAAGACCATCTACCTGATCGTCCGCTCCTCCCCCAGCGTGGACTGTGAGGTCCTGCAGGCCTTTGCCATCCCCTACAAGTGCACCCGCCCCTTTGCCAGCATGAACAGTGTCCTGGACCCCATCCTCTTCTACTTCACCCAGCGCAAGTTTCGCGAGAGCACCCGGTACCTGCTGGACAAGATGAGCTCCAAGTGGCGGCACGACCGGTGCATCACCTACGGGTCCTAGGCGCCAAGGAGAGGGGATAACTCAGAGGTCAAGAGGTTGTGGCTTCCAGGAGCCTGCAACGCCCAGCCACAGGGAGGGAAAGCAAGAGGCAAGGGCTGATTCTCCTGGGTGCAAGGCTGGTAGCCGGGGGCTTCTGAACTCTAATTGCTGCTATCACCTCAATTCCCTCTCTGGCCACTTGTGCCTCAGTTTCCCCACCTGGGACATGCAAAGCATGCCTCTGTATGGAATAGGTGATCCCCTATTGACCTGCCTTGTGGGGAGCGGGGTGGAGAGAGGATCTGGATAAGGCTGTGATGATGGAGAGCGCCAGGAGCAGTTGGCTGTTGGTATCCAACGTGCAACGTGAGCTAAAAGAGGCCCCTTGGGACATGAAGGGAAGCATGGCCAGGACTGTGCATGGCATGACAAGGGGTTCAAAGGCAGTATTTGGGTCTACGACTCTCTCTCCACAATGCACTGCAGCCCTGGGGCCCCTGCTGCGCGCAGTAGATGGGCTGCTCAGTATTAGCCCCCAGCCTCTGAGGGACTGGTGGGTCCATCCCTGTGACCTCTGGAAGGCCGGCACCCACATGCGGGGCTGGGGTTGTGAACCCTGCCATGAACCAGGAGGATGATCGTGGTCAGGGTGGGTCCGATGCGTTGGGCCCAATGAGTTTTGTTCTCAGCGAAGCATTCAACCAGCTTGGAAGCCGGGTGTTTTGCAAGCCACTCTGGGCTTCACAGAGGTGCTCCAGCTTGCCCTGCAAACCGTCAGCTGCTTTACAATGACATATGCACCATGGGACAACTCCTTGGTTGTTTCTTCCCCGTGTCAATGCCTGATCCCTCTCAGTACTCAGCACCTGGTGATGGGGGAGATGGGCAAGGAGTATTGTGGGCCTGGTTGGTGACCCCGCCAGTACATCACTAACTCATCTCAGCTTTCCTGAGCAGAACATTGACTTATAGACCCAATGAAAACTTACAGCAAGAGGTCTCCTCAGATCTCGGGAGTCTACTAAAGCATTGGGAAGGCAGGAAAAGGAAGACTCTGATGGGAGAATATTCAGTTTTATTGATGGAGAACAATGAGGTCAAAAAGGAAACTGCCCATTCAGATCTCACTCTCTTGTATTCTGCTCTGTTCTATTTAAGCCCGTTACAATATGGTTTTCCTAAGTTTCTAATGTTTTATTAGCTACCTGGGCAGTTCTGGAAGGGGCCTGAGGTACCTGATATTATTGGTATTTCTACCACCCTCCACAGGGGGTTTTAATTTATTGATTTCACAGGAACTAGAACCCAGCATTGGGTTTGTCTTTTTTTTTTTAAAAAAAAAGAGTTCCCAAAATGTTTGCAATTCCTTTTTTGGCATGTACAAGCATAGCATGTATCCATGGCCCCCCTAGTGGCTGTTCGTGGCAACGATAAGTCTGCTTTTTAGCTTTGCTCGTTGGCTTGTAATACTCGGTTGTGCACTGAGTTAGCACAGGTACATCTGCGGGTTGCTTTGGCCTGCTGGAGCTCTGTTTTGATACTTGGATACTGAAGAGCATTTAATTATAGGGGAGGATGGAAGGAGAAGGGAGCACATCTGCCCAGATGCAATGGAGCATGGTTGCAGAGGAATTGGCTAGGGGTCAGTGGATTTGGGTAGCTCACAGCAGAGATGAATGTGGCCCTTTACGGATGTCACTTCTCCATCACCCCCTGAGGCTACATTGAACATCAGTGTTAAAGTTGATGAAGATATACAGATCCCCCTATTCTGTCAAGTCAGCTCTGTCCATCCTACCAGGTCTTAATCATAGAAATCACAGAGAAGTCAGGCTGGAAGAGACTTGCAGAGGTCATCTAGTCCAAGCCCTTGCCTGAGGTAGGATCATCCCTATCCACACCAGCCTATACAAATCCATAACCTAAACTCTTTGTAAAACTACCATCAGCTCTGACACAACACAGACATCACACCCGACCCAGCCCCAGGTAAAGCAGGGGAACCATGGCAGCCAATGTCCTGCTTCTATAAAAGTTAATATACCGTGTCACCCCCAGTGCTCCTACCATAGCTGCTGGTTTTGGCCAGTCCTCCCAGGGTGGAACTGGGGACATCCTAGGCTGATCACGGGAGCTGCTGCTGCATAAGTGGAGGGGCACAGGCAGTGCTTATGCCCCATGCAGCATAAGTAATATGCCCCAAGCAGCAATAAAAGATCAGACAGCCACTGGGGGGGAGCCAGACTGCAGCCCAGGTCATTCCCATGCCCCCCTGCCTCCCTTCCTCCCTGCTGCACGTTATACTCACTTAAGCCTCTGCCCTTGCATTACAGTACGGACACAATATAATATGAATAATTGAATAATGAATAACACATACATCCAGACCTTCCAGGCTGTAGCAGCGCATTCAGGGAAGGCTACCTTATAATGCCTCAGCAGGTCATAGAGTGCCTAGGGGGCCTGCACAGAGAGGCGTACCAGCAGCAAGGGTGGGCAATGGATTCTGGGATGTCCTGTGGCTCACAGAGCTGGACGCCAGCTCGATTTCCCCAAGCCGGTCCCTCAGGGGCAGGGTGGTGGGAACATGGGCACTGCAAAAGGACTGTTGTGTGGAGGCGTTTACAGGGGAACAGCCGCAGGCCAAGCAAGGACTCCAGCAGGGTGAACCCGCTACCTGGGTCACTCGGCAGTGTGATATGCTGTGCAGGACACAGGTGGCCATGCCACGCCTCCCCCAGCTCCCACCAACTCACCTGCCTGCTAGGGTGGAGGCTGCTCTACTTAACCAGTGACCCAAGTACCCTCCCCAGCTCTGCCACTGACCTGCTGGGTGACCTTGGTCATGTCCCTCCCCACTCTGCCTCCAGTTCCCATCCCACCACACCTTTTCCAAGTCTTCTTTGCCTTGACTGAGGCCTTGTTGCACCTGTCCTGGTGTCATGCTCCCTCCTACAGCACAGCTGGAGTACACATCACAGCAGTCAATGCTGGGGCTGGGGAAAGGGCCTGGAAAGGAGACTGGTGGACATGTAGCCATCATTTCAGACTCTCCAGGCAGGCTTCTCCCTAGACACAGCTCATGCTCTGCTCACAAACAGCCTCTAACGCACCAAGCTGACAGCACAGGAGCAGTCAGTGGAGCTGGGACACTGAGCTGACTGGGGGGATCATCCTGGCACAGGGTGGTCGGTGGGGTTGGTGGGTTGGCAGTGCTCATGCCACTCAGTTAACCAAGAGGCAGCATGAAGAGCCTCACGTCCAACCGCGTGTTCAAGCTGTCACATGGTTTTCCAACCCTGGGGCTCATCACCTTTCAGCAGCTGTGCAGCAAAGCTGGGCTTTCTTCCACTGGTGGCAACCCAGGGGAACCCAGCGATGCCAACTCAAAGCTCCTGGCATGAATGGAGTTGCATCAGGGAGCATTGAAGGGGCTAATACCTCTGAGACTCAGGCGAGCTGCAGCGAGCGGGTCCTGCCAGCTGGAATTTTGACAGCAGCCACAGCCCCAAAGCGGGTGAGAAAACCTTATGGTGAGGTCAATTTAATAGGGCTGTTCAAGTCTGGAAGGTCGGGGCTGAGACCAAACCCATCCCCACCCCATCCCTGCTTGCTTCCTCCTTCTGAAGCATTTCATCATAACCAAGCCTCTTGGTTTTGCAGGGGGCACGTCCGAACCAAAGCACGTAGTGAAACACCGTGAAGGTCACCGAACAATTCAGGGCCCCCCCGCACAGCTCCACGCTGAGACTGCGGCACGGAGCAAAGTGGATGCAAGGCAGGAAGCTGGCCTGGGGCTGTAGGGAGGAGGGCTGGGCTGGGCTGAGCCAGCGTGGGGTCTGAGAAAGGCGTGTGACCCTCTTGGAGGACGGATAAGCAGATGGCGTTACTCTTAAGCAGATGCACATGGGGAAGTTGGTTTCCCCCTGTTTTGGCTATTGCACCAAGGGTGGATTCATTTTTCCACGTTCCACGGTACATCGCTCGGTTCCCCAGACCCAGAGCAGAGCAGCCCTCACTGAGCGGGCTGCAGATTCCCCACCCCCTGGGCACCGTTCTCCCGTGGGGAGTTTATCGAGCTCATCTAGGCTCCCTTTTTTAAGAAATCATGGAGGGGAGGAGGAGTACAGCGGATACAATCTAGCCCTGCCAGACAGTGAGCCTTAGAGATCTGGAGTTTGTCAAATAGGTTGAGGGCACAGGCAGCCAAACATATGTTCTAGTGACCCGGACATTGCTTGTGCTCACCAAGATAAAACTCTGGGAGCGGGAACAATGAGATGCATAGCTATTCTGAGACAGCTTCTACAGTCGGTGGCTATTATGGTACTAGATGGTGGAGAAGTACATAAAGAACTTGGTTGTTTGGAGCAGCTGGTTACCCCGGGATAGACATGGACAGACCAACCCTAACCTGGTTTAACTTGCACTGGAAAAGTTTTACCTGTGATTCTTTCAGGGTGACTCTTCAGGGGATTGTGCACAATTGTGCAGACACTTTAGGGGTCTGCACTGTGTCTGCTTCCTTTGCTGGTGTAACACTGACTGCTGCGGTGTAAGTGTTTCATCTGTCCACTCTCTTTAACTGGACTTCTGACCCGGAATAAATTTGTCATGCTCGGTCCAAAGCTGTCTGAAATCAGCGGGAATCTTTTCCTTTGACTTTAAGGGGGTTCAGATGGAGCCCACGTGGAACAACAAAATGCAGCTTTGGGGGTTTAAGCCTCTCTCTACAGCATCAAGGACTGGGGAGTGCTAGAGAGCAGTCACCAGATCGGATGGGTGCTTGGACTTTCCCAGTTGGCAATGGGCCTTAGCTGCAAATGTCATGGCCTGTGACTCCGGGCCCCTCTCTGCTGCTGCCAAGTGATTGCATTTTCTGCGGCTGTGGCTGCTGCCGCCTTTTCAGTGTCACCCCCAGAGCTGTTGCCGCGCACAATAACAGCAGTATTATTCGGTACCTCCGGCCCTGCTGTGGCTGTGGTCTGGGTGCTGGAGGCACTTTCAGGTACTGAGGGAATCGCTGGGTGCACGGGGTTGTATTTCATGGGTCTCTGGTGACCCGTTCATCTCTCATGTTGACTGCAAGATGCCCACTGCACCATCCCCACAGATGGGTATCTCAGTGGCTCTGTCGCCCCTAGTCACTTTGCTGGCCCTGTGTGGATGGCAGAGGCATAAGTCAATGCCTGCTTGTAAGATACCATATTGTAGCCCTGAGAGGTGATAAATTATTGTCTTGCCCTTGGAAATCACAATAAAATGGAAGATGCTGCCCATTAGTGAGAATGTCAGTTTGTGTGTGCTGCCTGCCTCTTTCTATAGGTGTGTCCTCACCTTGGTATAAAGTACCAAAGGAACCAAAAGAGATGACCACAAAGACTCCAGAGTCCCAGAAAGGGTGGTTTCATTACTGCTTTATTGCAGATTTCCAGGCAACAGCCCAGGGACTGACAGAGCTGATGGGGGCTCACATGTCTATGCCATATGTACAATGTGGGTGGGATCCAGTCGTGTGTAGACCCTACTCCAGGGAGATGAACTGCACCATGGAGTACGCCAAGGGGTTGTGGTATGGCCCTTCACACCATGTGTTTGGTGGTGCAGGGTACTTCATAAAGGATCTTGCAGGAGTGAGAGGCCAGGCAGTCCCCTGCTCCTCTTGCAGTCCAGGGCAGCATCTCCTTACTGCCTGTTTAAGCCCCACAGTAGCAAGGGCTCTGGGTCAGTCCTGCCCGGGGTTAGGGACTAGAGACATGGGTGCTCTCTCCCCCTCCAGACCAGCACTTTCAGGGGCTGGAAGGACTGAACTAACCTCCTCCTGCCCCCAGTTATTCAACCCCTGACATTGTTCATCCATGGCTCGCTTCCAGGCTCCATCACTCTGTCCTGCAGGGGTTGAATTGCTGTTGTGTTTCCCCCACAGGTTCATCCACTTTCCCCTTCAAGCTTGGCTAGTCTCATGCTGCTGCTTCAGCAGCCCTGCAACAGCGCTTGGTACAGTTCATATAGTGGTTATGACCCCCACCAGCCAGGTCCCTAGATGGCTTCCCAAGCTGATGCCCATCCCTGCTCCTCTCTCTAGGTACCTTGGTCTTGGACCGGGGATGAGGATGACGAGGAAGAATGTTTTCATCCAAGTTGGCTTGGAGAGCAAACTAACTCTCCTCACATGTTAATAAGCCCTTTACCAACCTCTATCCAGACAGAGGGCAATTGCTGGGAGCTCAGCTGGCCTGCATCCAGGCAACCTCATCCTAGTTCATTCAAGATCCTGTAAAGCACGGGTGGCCAGCCTGCGGCATACATGCCACAAGTGGCATGGGCAGCCTCTGCGTGTGGCACACAGCAGATCAGAGAGGGGAGTAAGCCTTATACTGCTGTCACTAATGGAGATCTTCCTTCATCTGTGCTTTTAGAGCTGAATACTGTGGCCACTACTGCCTCCTAATGACCATCCAGACCAAGTCCCCAGGAAGCTGCAGACTTAGTGCGATATCATCAAACTGCAGAGCTAGGGACCAAATCCATCCCTAGGCTGCCCTGGGGGTGAGTCTGGGGCTGGAGGTCGCTGGTGGGGTCTGGGAGAGGCCTGCCCTATTGCCCCCTCATTGCTCATGTGGAAATTCCCGGGTTTTATGGCTGCGTGGGGACAGGCCAGGCTGGAAGGGTGTCACATGCAGAAGCCCTCCTTGGCTCAATGTGTTAATTGCTCTAGATGTGCAGATCTTTCCAGCAAAGTGTTGATGGGGCTCAGTCTCCACCCCTCAGGAAAGCCTTGACCCCTCTCTATTGCAATGGTGACTCCTCCTTTGTAATTCAGAGAGTGGGTCAGAGACACCCCCTCCCCCACCCCACCCCCAGGCCACGGGCTTTCTGGTCCTTGCACATCTTCCCTCTCCTCCTCCTTCAGGCCATGTCTTCCAGAAAGCCATTCTAACGTGGCCACCTCACCGGTAGCATCTCCTGCCTCCAGCGCTCCCCAGACCCCAGCCCTTTGGTTTGTCCTCTTGGAGCAGAAGTTTTTTGGGACAGGGACTGAGTTCCTCTCTCCCTCCTGGAAAGTGCCAGATCGCAGGTCCAGCCACGGTGGTTTGGTCTGGGCAGAGGTTGGGAGGTGGAAGCTGCCTCCTTCCACCACTGACCTCCGGACCCAGCCCATTCCCTGGGACCATGATGGTTCCCAACCAGTGAGCCATAAAGGTGCCCTGGGTGACCCACACAGCTGTTTTAATCCAGCCCTGCTGGGCAGCTGATTAGCTGTGGTAGGAAGCAGGGGCAGTTATCTTGGGGACAGCACCATGCAAGCAACGCTGCTTCCACCCCTGAGCTCTCTGTCCTGTGCAGAGCCAGCTCTGGAGTCTCTGCAGCCTGCCCGGCAAGAGGAAATGAGGGAAATGAGGGATCACCCGTGGGGCTGTGCACGAGGGTGAGGAGGGTCAAAAGGTAGCTGGGCTGTGGGAGGCAGGTGGGCTGAAGTGGGCTGTGGAGGCTGGAGAAGGCAGATGACAGGATCAGAAAGGAACTACCCTGGAAAAAATGGGACGTGCCACAGCTCACGGGTCTCACCCAGCCTGCAGGGAACATGTTAGGGACATCAGGCTGGAAAGGGCTTTCTGGAGTCCAGTCGCTTGCACTCACAGGCAGTCACCCCAAATCACCACCTCAAACCATCCTGCAGACTTGCAAGGCACAGGAACAGCAAAACAGCTTCCAGCTACCACAGGGAAAAGCAGGTGTAGCTGGTGACTATCAGCAGAGAATATCTTAGGCAGGGCCCCAAATCTTGCAATGGGCCTGACTCTGAGTGGAAGGGCAAGACCCCCCGAGACAGGAACAGCTGGGTTGCTAGCACCAGCAGAGCATCCACACCCCCAAGTCAAAACCCCCCAGCTTTAGCTCTGGTCAAATCCCAGTGCCTTAGAGAAAGGTGAAGACACCTTGCAGGGAGACACATTTTCAAGCATGCTGAATAAGAGAAGCACGTCGGCTACAACAGGTGAGTGTTGAAAGGTGAGGGGTCGACTTGTAACAGCTAGAAATCCCTTGGCCATGGGGAAGGGAATCTATAGCAAGACACCCCATTACCTGCCTCATGCAAAGTCTGTGCTCTGGCCCCGAATGGCAGGACCAAAAGCCACCCTGGTATGTCTGAGTGTCACTGCCTGGAGGTCGCAGGCTGCCTAACATGACACAAGCCTTGGTGCTGCCGGTGCAGGATAAACGGGGCCTGGGTGGCTGCTCATGATTTTCCACGTGCTGTTGTTAGGAGGTGATGCCTGTGACTAGTTAACGTGAGACTAAATCATAGAACTCATGGCCGGGTTGTTTGCGGGTTTTGAGAAGCAAAATCTTCATAGTGAACTTCTCCCAGAAGAGGCTTCCACCATATCCCAGGAGAGGGGAGGAGAAAATGAGAAGGACGGTCACTGCTCTGATCGCCTTGCTCAGCGTAAACCGCTTTATCTATTAATTTGTGACAAAGCAAGGAGATCAGGGGCCTACAGCTAGTCAAGTCTGAGAGTCCATGAAACAAGGGAGTTGTTTTTAGGCAGGAGAGCGGTTGGAGGAAGGCAGTTTCCAATGCCTCAGTGTCTGAGTTACAGACCCAGCGGTATGACCCAGGAGTCTTGACACCCACACACCACACGCCTGCCTGCTTGCATCAATGTTCGTGTTAGAATAATCTCTGACTTTGCAAGAAGCCGTTTTAAGCCGTGGGGTAAGTGACCCTGAAAAATCACAGTTGCTCCCACCCAAATGATCCCTGGGCTGGGAGGAAGGAGTGGAGTGGCCTGTTAGCACGAGGCCATTCTTCCCTGTGTCCGGTAGAGGGCACAGCACACTCAGATTTGGAAAGAGACCTTTGCAGCGCTACTATCCCCGAAACCAGCTTAATCTCACAGATAGCATCGAAGTCGGAGGGAACAGTGTGATGGGCAGCCACCTGGCCTCTGCCCAGGCTTTTCCCCTGGATGGTCTTCACCCAGCCCCTGCACTAGGGGCATGTAAGTGTGCTGGGAATGAAGACCATCGCCTCTGCCTGCCAAAGCATCTTTCCAAGTAACACATGGTACCCACAGCGCAGCCCAAGGCAGGGTGGTAGGGCCACCAAATGCAGCCCTTGGGCTGTCCTCTAGGACCTGGAAGGATGAGGACAAAGCTGAGCTTGGAGCCAGAACTGTGTCCGGCCACAGGTATGTACAGCACCTAGCACCGCCAAGCCCCGGCCTTAGATGCGGTGGGGATGCAGCTGATACTAAGGAGACCTGCTCGACCAGTGGCTTTGCATGCCAGGGCAGCTAAGCCAAGGGGAATTTCTGTGAGCTGAGCAGGAGAGATAGAGGGCTGAGCAAACAAAGCAGCTGCCAACGCAACCAGGCGGGGATCCTGTTACAGCAGGGTCAAGGGCGCAGGGTCCTTACGCTCCTCTGTGGCAGGTGGGAAGGAATCGCGGGGGAGGTGGATCTGCAGGGATCCTTTCATGGAGCTAAGTGTGGGAAGATATGCACAGAATGGCTCATCCCTCTATGCCCCCAGCAAACCCTCTGGGCATCTGTGCCTGGCCTGGCGTCCTGGCCCCTCTCTCCCGCACCCGAGCAATGCAACTCTCGGGGAAATGAATGACTAGGGCTGTCCATGCTCACAGCTCTCCCCCTGTGGCAACGCAGAGGGGATGGGCTTAACCAGACTCCTGCTCTCTCATTGCTGCTCCCCGCGGTTCAAGGGGGGACTTTGTTTGCTGCCCCAGGGGGGCTGTATCACCCTGCAGACTGCCAGTACCACCCAGGCACCCGGGCACCCAGCGTGCCACCAGTCTGGTTACGATCCTGCCCCATGCCCTGTCCCCCAAATGGCCCTGATAGGAAGGGGTGGGCAGCTCCTGCCGAAACATACTCCATAGCTGTACAAAGGCATGTGCAGCAGAAGGCTCTGCAGTTTTGTCTGGTGGAAATATTGTCCTCTGACCAAAGGGTTTCACCATAGCTTGGCTGTTTGCAGAGGCAGAGAAGTTAGCCTCGAGGAGGAATGCAGCTTGTTTTTGTGGGTGAGAACAGGTAGGGAGACTCAGGCGGATGGGCTAATGAGCCGATCCCCGAGAGCTATCATCCCAGCCCCCTTGGCTGCACGTGGGAGCAGCGGTCAGCTCAGCGTGGCTGGTTCAGCCCTAGGAAGACCAGACAGCAGGCATAGTTGATCCAGGCTGGGGGAGGCAGAGAAGGCATCAATGCAATGGCCTGGCACCATTCATCATAGGACCTGACTGCATGCATGCTGTGTGCTTTCAGATCCGTACGCGGCTCGGCTCCTCGCATAGATGTGCCCGTCAACTCTACCAGCAGTGATGGTGGCAACACTGCAGAGAGGTAGGATCGTAAGGATGGAAGGGAGCTCAAGGCTCGCCTAGCCCAGCCCCCTGCACAGAGGTAGGAGTCGCTGTTTCTACCCCAGCCAAGAGACGCTGGTCCTGCCTCTGCTTGGAAACCTCCAGGGAAGGGGATTGCAACACTTCCCTGGGTAGCTTGTTCCACCACCCCCTGATCTGACAAGGGGCAAGTTTGGTGTAAACCCACTGCCTCGTGCCCTGCCTTCTGCAGGGAGGGGGAACTTTTCTTCTCCCCCTTCTTTAGAGTTGCCTTGGAGCCTTGCCCTCTTTCCCCCTCATCCCCCCATGTTTCCCCCAGCCCAGCTCCTGGCCCCTTGTGCTGCACCACGGAGAGGAGGCAAGGAGGACATCACAGCCAGGAGAAAGGGCAGCAGAGGTGGCTTTGGACTGACTTTGGCCCTTGCACCCATGGGGTGGTCTAAGTCCTGGTAGCCTTGCTCAGCTGCAGGCCCTGTGTTGTTCCCGTGGGGCATCCCCTCCACGGAGGGGGTGTTTTCTCCATGACGTTCACAGCCCTTATATGCCACCGGAGTCTGTAGCAGGGGCATTTCCTCCTATTACTTCCCTCCACACACAACTCCTCAACCGCTGGCCTTCTCTTGCCTTGTGTCTCTCGCGACCTGGAAGGCCTCTCTGGTTCCCCACCGCCTCCCTGCTTCTTCCCTTTCCAAATCTCATCTCTCAGCATCTCCGCCACAGAAGAGGATGCCCTGTGCTGCTTCAAAGGGAAGCCCGAGCCGGAAGGGAACTTGCCGTTTAATCGAAGCAGGACGTTGGCTGCCACGGTTCCCCTGCTCGACCCGTGGCAGGTTCGGGTGCAAGGTCTGTGTGGTGTCAGTGTTGCCGGTATCTTGCGTACAGTTCAGATCCGGGATTGCAGAGGGTGGTTTGGATACGGAGGATCCAGCCTCAGTGAGGGGGGGGACTAGATGACCTTCCAGCCCTGCTTCCCTAGGACATAATTCGTCATTCCAGCGACCGCAGGACGAAAGAAGCACCCGCTTCCGATTATTTTTGCCGAATCGGTTGTGTTTTTTATACGCAGTATACGACAGAGCAAATCAAAACCTGTTCCAAGACAGTTTTGTCCATGTTTGCCTCAATCTTAAACTGAATCATACAGCACGAGACCCTTAACGTATTCATAAAGCTTCCAGCTTCTTTTGAACCAGAGGCAAATACGCATCCTCTTGTACGCAATGATGCCCCACACCATCCGCACCCCTCTTTTCATCATCCTACATCTGCCCACAGGGTTGCATCAGGCTGAACCCCAAGCTGATGTAGGAGCACCGATAACGTCTCATGTTCAAAAGCTCGTCTAACTTTCTGCCAACGACACCGTGGGATCACCCACAGCGATTCTTGCTTCTCGCATCGTTTTGGGGGCACGGCGGCATCGCTCTTATGTACCGATTCCCCCCTCCACATTCAAGCAAGGTCCCTTCCAGCCCCTAACAACGATGCACCGTGCAATCCTGGCCTCTCGCATCGTTTTGGGGGCACGGCGGCGTCGCTCTTATGCACCGATTCCCTCTCTCGTTAGGGGGCTGGAAGGGACACAACTAGGAAACCCTGCAGAGCCACCCCCATCCCTTCCTTCGGCGCATCGGGGACGGTGTGGGCTGAATCCCAGAAGAGGAGCTCAGGGAGGCCCCACTCCAGGAAGGGGACGAAGCAAGGGGCAAAGCAAGAAAAGACCTGGGCGCGGGGCGTACAAGCAGGGGCAAGGGGACGTGCACAAGGAGCAAAGCAGGAACCTGTGGGGTGGACATTAGGAGTGTTTTGGGGAGGTGAAAAGGGGCAGGATTGCAAGGGAAAGCCTACTCATGGAAGCGGAGTCCTGGGGGGTGTTGTTTTGGGGGG